AAAATTGAAATTTTTATGATTTTTTTACTTGAATAAAGATCAGTACTCTTACCTCTATGATATCATTTTTTACATGATCCCTGGCCTTACTGTATAAAGAATTCATTAACGTCAAAACATTCAAAATAACTCGTTCGTCTGATTTTTCAAGATGACGTATAAGCGATTCAAATGGTACTTCTCGTAAAACCAGATTCATTTTCCCCTCACTGGAATTTGAAAGCATTAGTACTACAAAAAATATGAATCGCCCTTTCAAGAAGTTCACACAAGAAATTTACAAAAATACGCTTGATATATATTAAATCTATCTGGAGTTATTTGATCGTTAAATCAAACTTATTTCTGCAAATATGAACTAGAAAAATTCCATACTTTTTAGAATTCAAAATAAGATCGATAATATTAAGCGATGAAACCAGTAATGTATTATCCTCCTGCTTAGCTCTGCCCGTAATATTTTCTGCTATTTTAGAAACAAATTCATCCGAAACTTGTGACCAGTACATTAAGCCAGTATGATCCATTAACATTAGTAATGCTTGCAGGAATCGAGACTGACATGAAACGCTGCTAAAGACAACTGCTTAAAATAGTCTTCAATTTAATCAGTCAGGTTCATTAAAATTTAAAAGATTTCATTCGTTTCTTGAAAAATATCAGTTTTATCTAGTATGAATCCAATAAAAATTTATTATTTTGGAACATATATCATATCTTACTGTAGTATGAAATTACCGGCTTATACTTTTTACTTATCATTTTAGTAAACAGCAATTTATAGTGTCAAAAAATTAACGAAATTGAAAAAGTTCACTACAGGAAATCTGGGAATGCTGAAAGAAACGAGAAAAGATTTCAGTAAGATTCTGAGCAATGAAGCTGAACACACACTCTGTGCACAATCCTTTTTCGATCACTTCAAATATATAATCATATCCACCTATACGCATAAATTGTGTTGCAAACGAAATATCACCGCATAATGCAATAAGTTCAGCAAGCGTTGTTCGTAGATCTCCTGAAGGATTACGTAAACGTGCCAAAAAATTGTGGGCATAACGTTCCTGTGAAGAAAACATATCGTTAGTAGATTTGATTATCAATTTTACGATTTAAAATAAGAAGTTAGGATTAAAATAAAATTAGACAGGCATAATTTAAATATTCGATTAGAAAGCATATTGATGTACAAGGAAAAATGGCAACTTTAATTCATTTATTACAAAAAAACGAAACTTCAAAAGTTCTTGTATAAATGTAAGTATGTGCGAGTGTTCATGAAAGCGAAGCATCAGTCAAGCATCTATTAAAAATTGCAATGCAATTGTGTCTATTTATTGTGCTCATATATATGCACACTATTTTGCTATAACTATTACGAACTTGTCTGAAATTTCACTACATTTTTTTTTCACAGAATTTTTCTAATTGGAAGCTGTTATTTTAGAAAATTGAAAAAATGTGAATAAGTAATACAGGAGATGCAGTTAAAATGAGAATGAATCCTTGAGGCACCAAATTACGATTTTCCTTGGTCAGAAAAACACCATCATTACCACGGTCTTCAAATTTCAATGCATATGTATTCCTCTCCGACTGTGGTAGCTTCAGCTCAATACTCAAACGTGTAATCAAGTCCGTCAAAACTTCATTCTGCAAAAACAAATAGAAAAATTTGTTTTTTAAAGGATTTTAAATTTGTGAATATGTAAATTACATCTAATTTTGTATCAAAATTTAAACTAAAATACGCAAAATCTGAGAGAACAAAACATGTTGAAAATCGTAAGCTTTACAAGTGGTGATAATAAGTTGTGTTATATTCTTGTTAAACTCAATAAAAATTGCCTGCTTGTCAAAAGTTACATATGCCCAGGTGACGTTTGTATTGGATTCTGCAGGAAACTCATCGCCTAAGTACTTTTTTAAATTCGGATCTAATTTCACGGCTCCCTAAAATATGGAAATGATAGATGAAAGGATGGAAACAAGAAAGTTATTCAAAAATTAACAAACCGAAATTCCTTATCGATACCTAGCAAATCGTTAAACTTTTTTATAATCAGTGGTATTGTTGATAAATGAATCACATCATTAGCGGTGTTCAGCTTACAGTTTTGAGATGAAAAATTCCCTTTTATTTTCCGATATGCCACTATATATCGATTTCCTCATATAGGAAATTTGCTTCCTTTTTATCCACCATGAGTGGTAACGAAATAGTAAAGAACATAATGCTCCCAATAAGAACAGCTTATTTTGAAAAGTTTTAATGCTATCAACTAATAGCCTTAAGAGAAATCTAAATCCACAAATGAATATTTCTCACTCCATTACAACTTCTCCTTTTTAAAATTTCAAGTTTTTTTGAAAATTAACTGAACCCTAAAAGGTTTGAAAAATAGCTTTAAGCATTTAAATAGCTATTTAAAAATCTTTTTCTGCCCCATACTGATGCTTTCAACATAATTTGGCTATACTTCTTTCGGCATCAATAATTATCTATTTCTAACTTTCTATCTTTCTAGAAACAGAAATATTCTCATAATAAAATATAATATCCTCAGTTAGTATAACAAAGATAACACTGTATAACATCCTTATTCGGAAGAAAACGTTATTTGATTAATCAAGCAAAAATAAAAATAAATCTTTCTGGAATATAACTATAACTACAAAAAATTCATAATACATGATTAAAGTGCCTACTTTAACAAGATTTTCCGGAAGACGTATGTCAACTTCCTTCAGTGGTTTCGAAGCAGTATGAAAATGTGCAGCACCAGGTTGATCCGGTCCCATTCAATTTCTTTTCTTTGCCTTAATCTCAAAATTTGATACATTTGATAATAATGATCTACGAATGGGATATACAAAATACGAAATCAATATTATAATGAATTTTAGCAAAATCAATTTTATTACTTGTAAGCATATTTTCTCCTTTTCCACGTAATTTTATAAAGCATTTAAATGCATTTACAAATGAATAAAATAAAATTTAAGCTAAAAAATTTCAACCAATTAATTTTAAAATATATTATCACTACAATTCTTCTATCGTTTTTATATTCCTAACTTTTATATTATTTTATGAGCATTTTATTGCGTTATGAGAATAACAAAAATAAATATTATTTCATTTTTGGTTTTTCTACTTCTAATACTCTATTTTTGGCTTTAATGCTTTAACTAATTTTAATAATTCCCTACGGCAAATTAGCGCAACAAATTAGTATAAAAAGACTAATATTGTTCATCGAACAAAATTTTCAATGTTCAATGAAAAGTTGAGAAATTGTTTGTCGCAATTCAACTTTGAACCTGTCAACAATCTTGAGTTTTTTTTTTTGGAACTTCTAGAATTGATTGGATTTTGAGATTGGGAAAGAAACTGAGGATTTCTTTTAAACTTAAGGAAGACCTTAACCCAATCTTAATTAATTATTACTTATAGTTTTAATAAATTATGCTATCATTGCTTTAAAACTGCTATTGTTAAATGTTTTATATTAAAATACGCATCTAATTTCACACATTCATAAACGCATACATGTCATTACGCATATATGGCACACACACACACACACACACACACACACATACACGTACACATATCGCATATACATACAGAATACGCAATAATAGGTAGTGTATACGTGCATGCATACGTGTACGACAAACGTATGAATTATATCCATTATCTGTACTCTTCGAGATAACACACATGCATATATTAAGGGTTAAATCCGATTGAATTTATTGATCGATTGATCAATTGATTGATTGGTGATATCAAGTATTAATGTAAGGACAACAATTTTTTTAATGATTTTATTTATTCAAATTTCTTTTTTAAAAAGATTTTTTCAAAAATGAAAAAAAATGAAAGGCGCCATGCCATGAAATTTGAAGGCATTTGTTTGACTGAAAAGAATGAAAATGAGGTTATTTGAGATGTGAAGGGAATTTCCTATTTTTTTTTTTTTACAGAATATTTAACATAGTATGAATGAAATAAAATCAATTTTCTATTTTAGGATGAATTCAACAGAATGGTATAATAATTGCTTGTTTCGGGCAATTCTTCGTATTTATAATGTAACCAGATGGATGGATAAATTTTCAAATCATTGAAATTTAAATGCTTGCTATTTATTGTTTCAAAAAATAAAAAAACAGATTTCTTTCATTTTTTTTTGGAAAGAAAAACTATAGACAAAGAAGACATGCGAAAAGATTATATGGCACTAATATAGGAGGTGAATACAATTTTTAAGTGCAAATCGGGAGTGAACTTAAAATTCATAAAGAGTTACAGACAACGAATAATATGAGAATTTACAGGAAAAAGATAAAAAGAATATGAGGAAAAAGAAAAAAAAAACATATTAATGAATAATATGAAAAAAAATGATAATAAACAAAGATAAAACAAAAAAGTACTACAATGTTATTTGTTGCACATATAAAATGAAATCAAACATAAAGAAATATATTAATCTGATAAGGAAGTAAATTAATTAAATCTTTTTGAAACCATTTCAATGATTATAACTATGAAATATTATTCAATTTCAAAATGCATAGCGTGGAACGATTCGGTAAATCAAATAAACAATCGAAAAAATTTTGATAAATTCGATGTAACAGAAAATAAAAATTATTGCAATTTAAGATACAGATTTTTGCAACGAAAAACAATTGAACTTTTATATTAGCTAAACAAAAAAAAAAAATTATATATTTTACAGATAAGCAAGATTAGAACAAGAATGAATAGAAGGCTAAGCAACTGTTGATGAATTATTGAGTTTGACAAGAGCACGAAAGAAATATATCAATTCGGCCTGAAGACGAGCTTCCATCATTAACAATAATACGTGCACCTAAAATTTAATTTGAATCCTAATTAATCTTAAATTAAATGCAAAACAAAACTTGAAAATAAAGGTAATTTGATAAAATGCTCTACCAAAATCAGGCCAAGAAATAGTCAATACCATTCTCAGATCTGAGCTTGTGCACTAATGAAGCAACGAATTTTTAAATCACAATGCCATCACAAATTTGATATGAAAAGGATAATATATTTTTTTTTTGGCTTACTCAATTTTTAATGAAAATCAAAAATGTAAACAAACATATGTAGTAGACCTAATGTAAAAAAAAGGTAATAATTACAACCTAAATTAGTTGCTATTTTTTAGACGTCAAAACTAACATGAAAAAACGTCAGTAATTAAGCAATGCAATAATTTCATACTAAAAATATTCATTTGCTTTCAAACCTTTTCAGAAGATTTAAAATTGACCATAATAGATTGCAATAACGAATCTGTCATTTTATGCGGATGACAACATGTTGTCTTGATAAATGTCTTCATTTTACGATCTAACATCACATTTATTTCAGCGTAGTTATAGTCATCATGACGTATACCTGCAATTGCGTATCTCTAAATAGTAATTACTTGTTCATTCTTGAATTTATCGTAATTTCAATCTTATTTAATTCGTCGTACATTAGAAAAAAAAGTAATTTTTAATGTTCAAAATTACTTTTTTTGGCCATTTTATTTTTTTTATTTTCTGATATGAAATTACGATTGATTATATTGGCACAAATGAACAGATATATAACATATTCAGTATATTGGCACAAATGAACAGATATATAACATATTCACTGAATATATAACATATTCAGTATCTGTTCATTTATGCCAATATAATGTTTGCAAATA